CAAGCTGTCTGTCAACAGACCGAAGCCGCTTGCCAACGCGGTGAGCAATCAAGTCACAGTTATTGCGTCCGTCAGGCTGCTACAAACGGCTGTGGTAGGAAGGTCAGTCAAATATCCCATCAGCACAGGGCCGACTACATCGGTAAACCGTGTAATTTTCTCCTCAATTTTTGGACGTTCATGCCGCATGATGTATAGGTTGCCTAGGTTCCAAAGAGATCTACGTTCTCAGATTACCAACTAGGGACACCTGTATTTGTTTACGCAAGACTTAGAGTCGATGATTATGCGGGGAGCAATCGGAATCTAGAATCAAAGCGCCACCAGCAAGATTGCGCAAGTTTGAGAGGCGGCCGAATATTTATACAGTTAGGTATGGCTTGGAAATAATGCCGGACTCTATGCGGGTGAAGAGACAAACGAACGAAACCGCACAGATGACTGTGTAAACCTCGATTCATTTTGCCGGGACGAGGACACAACGCCCACGACAAGGACGCGCATGGTTCATACAGCGGTCACAGCTAAGGTTCAACAGAATGTTTCAGAAAAGTGGGTACAAACAACACTGGATAGGAGTGAATTCGCAGTGGATAAACGGGAAAAAGAGGATTGCTTGAAAGCGGAACGATTACGTGATCTCGAGTTATTTATTACTATAGCATACCTACTTATTTGATTTAGGTAGACATATTATTCTAGGTTGCGGTTAAATTTAGGGAAATGATCACACCTAGGGTTAAGGCCAGGGTTAAGTTTAGGGTTGGATTAATTATTAGGGTTTATATTGCCTGTAACATATCGCCCCACCCAATATGGCCTTTTTTAACCAATAACTTCGGATTAACTGTTTCTCGTCTGTTTACACGTCCCTAATTATCATTCAAATTGCATGCCTTGTGCCGGTACCTCGTTAGTAATAAGGCAAGCAAAAAACATAAATGAGTCTTCTCAATGCCCTCCGCAGATTCCGTCAAGTGACGCGTCCATGAGCCCAAATGATAAAATTGGTGTTAACACCCTTCTCAAATTAGGGGAGTCCCTGTGCTTATTTTCTCAATGGCCCTACACAATTAATCCTCAACTCTAAATGCACACAGCTGGCTCAGAAACAGCAAAGAACAGTCAATAGGACAAACACAAAACCTATAATATTTTCGGTAAAAGGCCAGACAACATCATATCTGCAAATTTGCATGCACGATGGGGCAAAGTCTGTGTCTTTAAAAATGGGGGCTTTCGAAATTGATGGTTTACGAGAAAAGACCAGGGTGACTAGATACAGTGCTGGCCAAAATTCTGGAATGCGTTTCCGATTAGGAAGGATTGTTTAAGAGTTCATAAAGTTTTGCAATAGATACGGACTGTGTTGTATATTTCATGAAGAGCGTTAATAAACGGGCATGTGCGGTTCTGTATGCATGGACATCACACGGTCTTAAAAATCTCATAATTAGAAACTTTTAAAACCGAAATATACACATTCTTCGGGCACAAATATGAAGACAATGTGAATTCCTACCAAATGAGCAAAAGAAAGCCTATTTTTTGCATGTTTTTCTGTAAAATTTATTTGAATTTATTAAACCATCGAATATCAATAGGAAAAATGCATGACACTTAAGTAGTCATTTTTACCGCTTGTGGTTTCTACAGGAGGTCAAAAAGAAATGCAGTCAAAAGCCGACATCCTGGCGAGTACGGAATGTTATAGACTTATGCTGCATGCTGATCAGTATAACAACCCTACTTAAGTAATCCTTCCTAATCGGAAATGCAACCCAGAATTTTGGCCAACGGTCACGCATTGTATGTCAGGAGGAAATAGGAATTAATACTGAATAATTTAAACTGAATACTCGAACATCGAATAAGAGATCGATTGTTAGTGCGTCAAGTGTGATCAGGAGCATGAAAGAAGGCATAGGGGTGGGTGAAGTATTGGTGGGAGGAAGAGGGATGAGTTAGTTGGCTTACCTTAGACGTTGACTTGGAGTTTGTGTGCCCTCGGTCATAAGGCGTAGGAATTCAAGCCACTAAAAGAAACCAGAGAGGTCTTAAGATGACTTTATGCTCATAGGCGGATAAAAATGCGCAAACTAAAGGGGTCCGTTTGGAGATGATGAGAATGTTTCCGCTAAAATTAAACTTTAGAGGTAGTTCTCGCCTGCGAGGAAACTACTGCTTACCGTCCTAAATTGAACCTTCCGTTCGACCGTCGCAAGTGACGACGTCCACTGCTTGCCTTATGAAGTGGGCGCAGTGCCGGTGACTCACACGTGGACTTTCGCAGCATCTACCGCACCTGCTCTTCCCCCACCCACCTTACAGCGCCGGTGACTTACGCGTTAATAAACTAAAAATGGAGCGAACTTTCGCAGCATCTACCGCACCCGCTCTTCCCCCACCCACCTTGTTCCGATGGCAAGACCATGTCAAGGCGACCGGAGGTGAGTGAGGGCGACGGCAGACAAAATTAAAGGGCTGTCTACGCGTGCCACACACGATCCGCAGGCGAATGGAGCCTAACAGGCGCTGGAGGCGGCAGTCCGAATTTCTAACGCCATCTAGGCGGTTGACAGTTCGACACGCGCACTACGATGTCTGCTGTGTGCACTACATCATGGTGGGCACAGGACGGTCATTTGCGTGTGGGTTAGTTTTATAGCGGTAGCAGACTTGCACAGCATCTCACGCGCTATCTCCCCTCCCTCGTCTGTTTAGGTATCGGCGGCAGGGCGACCGTAAGCGAGTCCGTCTACGCGTGCCATGCATGACAGGACCATACGAGCATTACCAGGTTTTCACAGAAGAAAAGGAGCGGATATGGATCCCACGTTCGTCCGACTGCCATAGAGGCCACGGCTAGATCGCAGTTGGTAGCCCGGACCCGCATTACAGGTGGCTGGGGGTTGCTTACTGGGGTTATTTTGTGGGGCTCCATAATCACATCTGACCCATTTGGCTTCCATTTTACGTTTGAGGTTAGGAGTAGGGTACCGGTTAATGATTTCCGATTTTCCGGTTAGGGTTATGCCTTTAGGCTTAGGTTTTCAGGTTATAGTTAGGGTTTGAGCGCACGAATATGTTTCAATATTACGATTAGGCTTCTCAGTTGCGGCTATGTCTAAGGGCTACGGTTAAGTTTACGATTTCGGCTAGGGTTAGGGTTGCCGTTAGGGTTAACGGTTAAAGTTAGGGTTAAGGTTGGGATTAGGGTTAAGTTCGCCGTTCGCTTCCCATTCCGGGCTACCGACTGCGATCTAGCCGAGGCCACCTTAAGAAGGAGCCATTGAGCCTGATTCTCAATCCTCGAACCAGTCACCCCAACCGTCGCGAACGACGATGGCCGTCGTGTGGATTGGTGACTTGCGCGGCGTCTACCGCACCCTCCTGGGTCTGGCGTCCAGAGGCGGGTATTCTGAGCGCCCAACTCTGGAGACGTGGCCACGTTGACAGGATGTAGATACAGGCCACGGAGAGGTGAGATTATCCCTCAAAAACAGTCGGCAAACCGGTTTTCAGCGAAAGCTCTGGGCGCAATCGTCGAAACCAAAAGGACACAAGGCGTTAAAGGACATAACCACTCCCAAATGCCACTAGGATTGTCAGTGTAGCTATCGAGTCAGACAAACGTGAATACCTTTTCTGCAAACACCTGAAGTCTGATCGGGGGCGGTGGTCGTGTGCACGTGCTGGGAAAACACGTAACGGCACGCGTCGACTGAAACCAGGCACACCAGGTAAGCCTCCTGCGTCTACAGGTATCTCCGAGTTATCTCATCGGAGGATAAGAACAACGCTCTGTAAGTATTAGTTTCGACTTGATGGCTTACAGGTAATTGCACTAAACGAGAAATATCGGTAATCGAGAACGGGTAAAGAATTACCACGTGTTAAGCGTCGAGCAGCGAGTTATAACTTCCTATTTTGACCTTGGTCAAAAATGGCGTGAAGACGACGAATGTTCTCGAGAAAGGGACTTCCAGCATTCACCAGAAAGGACCTTGAAACTACAGTGAAAATGACTTGCTTTTGGCTTCGGAGAGGCTATCAGCAGTTATGAAATGAAACGAGGGCTGGGAGAGGGAGAGCGAGAGAGGGACTTACACTGTCACACAATTTCCGGGCGCGTTCGGTACCCCGTGTGGACTGCTGTCCTGAGGTCACAGCCGTATCGCTGTCGCCTTTAAAGAGGTCCACGATGTCTTCCGACAGCGCACGCAAAACATGAGCTCGAAAGGCAGCAGTTGGACTCACGAGTACGGCCGACTGTAAGGATAAAAAGAGGCGTGCATACGGAGGAAACAACATGACCCATCCTGCAAAAAGGGACTACTTAAGTAGTATGATACTTTCCTATGTATTAGGAAACCCATATAAAGTCAAGCATATTTTATAGAGAACACGAGAACACGCAGGGGAAATCTCTCCTCGACTCTGCTGATAGGAAATTACGTCTTCTCAAAATTTTGTACTTGAAAATACAGTATCATTCGGTTTTTAAAAACTTTTTACGACTCCCGAATGATTTTGAGCCCGACCTGCCTTTACACTAGCATTCAGGATTTTCAAACTACAAGCCGTATATTTTCACGTGTAAGGAAAATCGGCTGGATCGCAGTTGGTAGCCAGGAATGGGAAGCGGACGGCGACCTTAACTCTAACCCTAACCGCAACCTTAAACATTAACCGTTAACCCTAACGGCAACCTTAACCCTCACCGAAATCGTAAACGTAACCGTAGCCCTTAGAAATAGCCGTAACTGAAAAACCTAACCGTAATACTGAAGCCTATTCGTACGCTCAAACCCTAACAATAACGCGAAAACCTTAGCCTAAAGGCATAACCCTCACTCGAAAACCACCAACCGGTACCCTAATCCTAACCTCAAGCGTAAAACGGAAGCCAAGTGGGTAAGATGTGATTACGGAGCCCCAAAAAATAGTCCCAGGAAACAACCCTTCCCCCCACCTGTAATATGGGGCCTGGCTACCAACTGCGATCTAGCCGGAAAATCCTATATTACATGAAGCTATTAAGGTTTCACACAGGGATTATAAAATTTTGCGACGGATGGGGTCGGTTACGCTGCCCTGGCCCCAAGTGTAAGCGCAGTGTGGGCATTGAAAGTAAAGTAAGCCGAGGGTGGGTGCTGAAATCGTTAGTGAGAAAGTTGCCAGAGCTAAAACTGAAAAGGGCAACCTGCTGTTTCGGTTTAATGGTAGAGTTAGTTTTAGGGTTTTGGTTAGCTATAGATGTTTTGGCGGATTTTGAATAATTCATATTGACCCAACTGTGAAAGACTCGGCGCCTCGGTGGGATTCGAACCCACGCAGTAAGGGGAAGGCTTTAGCGCAGCCAACGCTCTAACCACTTGAGCTACGAGGCCCCGCCGGACGACGCGAGTTTAATCAGTGTCAATTAACAATAAATAATGAGATAATTAATGAATTAACAATCAATATGAATTATTCAAAATCCACCAGAACGTCTGTAAATTACGTGAGCCTGGTAGTCATCTGGTAGATTCTAGGTGAATTACTTAGGAAATCCTGCTTGGGCAGTCAACTTACTGTATCCGATTTGGTGGATTCCAGACATTGCAGTAGATTGGGCGGGTAACTTGACCCAAATGTGATTAAACTGGCGTCGTCCGGCGGGGCCTCGTAGCTCAAGTGGTTGGAGCGTTGGCTGCACTAAAGCCTTCCCCCTTACTGCGTGGGTCCGAATCCCGCCGAGGCGCCGAGTTTTTCACATTTGGGTCAATATGAATTATTCAAAAATTTACCAAAACATCTATGAATCAGGTTTATTATTGGGGCTGGGTCAAGGGAACATTTCGCCCCTTTGGTCGGGGCGTTTCTACTCCCATGTCTGGTTTAGGAGGCAACATAAGTCGTCCCACCGATCAAATTAGGGCTGTTAGTGCCCCTACTGAGGGAAGCGGTTCCAACGACAGATGCCCGATTACTTCAAGGAGTACATTCGAACAGGCTGGTGGAAGTCACCACGTGAGGAAAATGTTAAGTCCTATTTTCGCATTCGTCGATCGATAACTTTGAGGCCGTGGTCGGTGCAATCGATTTTTAATTAAAATAATGGTGTAAACAACACGGCTGCAGTCAAATTCATTAAATCGCCGAATTTCTGGAGGCTCTTGTCACTCCTGCTATGCCGATTGGCTTCGCAATAAATTTCGTTCTGGCGATTACATTGAACGGAGTTTTGTGCTCTGAGGACTTTATAGAATATCCCCTGTACTGGTCCAAGTCCAGGATGAAGTTCGGCTGGGAATTGAGTTTAGGGTAAAGGCTTGTGTTAGGTTTAAGGGTTCTGGTTAGAGTTAGAGTTCGGGTTTGGATTTCGATTTAGGTTTATGTTTAGTGTTAAGGTTGGGTTAGGGTTACGGTTAGGATTTGGGTCAGGGTTAAGGTTAGGTTTAAGGCTAGAGTTTGTGGTAGGTATAGGGTAAAGTTTAGTGTTAAGTTTAGGGTTGGCGTTAGGTATGTAGTTACGCCAAGGACTAGGTTTACTTTTGAGGTTACGTAGAGGTTTACCGTTAGGTTTGGAGTATTTATGTCCCGCGTGTCCTGTCAACTAGGGCTTTTTCGGGGATTCTAGGCTTCCTTCAATCTCGTGGCAGATTGCCTTTTTCATTTCATCCAGCATCCACACACATTGTGCTTACACTTGGGACCAGGACAGCGCAGCCGACCCTTACCGTAACGTGCTGATGCAATGCTGTATGATCCGATATTTCACGGTCTTAAAAATCACACAATCAGCAACTTTTTAGGACCGAAAGATGGCCTTTGTTCAAGTATGGACTTCGGAGAAGACGTAGTTTGCTAGCAGTGGAGTACAAGAAAGAATATTTTTGTGCCTGCTTTCTATGAAATATGTTTGAATTTATGAGGAAGTCGAAAGTGGACGGCAAAAATTCGTACTACTTCCGTAGCCATTTATGTATAGAGCGTAGTTTTTGCAGACGGTCGAAAGAAATTCACTCAAAAGCCGGCGTCCCAGCGTGACTGAAATATCTTAGGATTATGCTGTACGATAATTAATACTGCGGGCCTACTTACAGTAAGTGGGCTAACTCATGAAATCTCAACAGAAATTCCGAAATGCGTTTTCGTTTCGAAAAGATTAATTAAGTACGGTTGTAAAACCAATCATCGTGCATCAGAATTCTTTAATAATTCATTTACCCCAGGACGCCGGCCTTTGAAAAAACTTCTTTGGCTGCATGCATTTTTTCATTGATTTTCGATGCCCTTAAAGATTAAATTATATTTTATGGAAAACATGCATAAAAATATTCCTTCTTTTGAGCGTCCAGTAGAAAATTACGTCTCCCTTTAATATTACACTCGAAGGAAGGGTACGATTTGGTCTTATAAGACTTTTCTAATTCCCGAATAATTTTGAACCCGACCTGCCGTTGTACTTGCATTCAGGGGTCCAAAACTACAAGCCGTATAATTTCCGCGTACGGAAAACCATACATTTCTCTACGGCAGTAAAGGGGGAACATATAGGGTTCATAAAAGAAAGCAGTGGATTTGAGCCAAATTGGTAAATGCAGAGACATGACGTTTTATGAACGGCTATGTCACGGTATTTAAAAGTCCCACAATAATAAACTTTTTTAAAATCGAAGTATGTCCCTCCTCCGGGTATAAGATTGAAAGAAGACGTAATTATCTACCGAATGCGCAAAAGAATGAATATTTTTATGCATGTTTTCCACGAAATATAATTGGACTTTTAGGAGCATCGAAAGGCAATGAAAAAAATGCATGCTACGTAAGTGGCCATTTTTTACGGAGCATGGTTTTTGAATGCGGCCGAAAGGAAGTTCATTCGAAAGCCGGCGTCCTGAGGTAATTGAATTATCATAAAATTATGCTCTATGACGTTTGGTTTTACAACCCTGCTTAATTAATCTTTTCGAAACGAAAACGCACTTTGGACGTCCTGTTGACATCTCATGAGTTGGCCCACCTACTGTAAGTAGTCTTTTAAAGCCAGAAACGCATTTCAGTCTCGACTAGCATCTACCGTAGTAGCTGGGATTTGGCACAAGGCCATCTTTATAACGGGGCTTCCTATCCGGGGTGGTGAGACAGGGAATCCGCTCTCCCAGTATGAGGAGTGCCGCAGCTGCAAAGAAGCTGCAACACGTAGATGGTCGTGTGAACAGGTGAAACACAAAACTCTACAAGAGCCTGATGGGAGATTGCCAGGGTCGCATAAAACTCACCGCCAACCAGGACACGCCGATTTGTCTGTAGGCGAAGAGCAGTAAGTCGCGCAGCAATCGAAGCAGGTAGGAGTCCTTTTCGTAGCCCAGCTGGGCGAATCCGCCAAGAAACTGTCGAGGTTGGTATGAAAAATTAACATGAAAGCAAGTTGAGGACAAAGCACGAACGGGGAAAGAGCAGACAACCGAATTACAAGGCTGAAAGTAGTTAGTAGATGTGATGCAGTCCTGAAAATTGGTTGTTGCGGCGGCGAGGGTTACCCCCCAGCCCTGACACTCAGAATAAAACAAATAGATCTCTTGATCAGAGGAAGAAGCGATCGCTGGAACAAGGGCTTTATTCACCGATAATATCTAGAGTAGCACCGGAATCATGAGTTTATTTGTTTGAGCTTCCGTAATCGACCAGTGATCACAAGGACCGTGGAACACGAGGTACTTAAGGTTCATGCAACAACTGTCGTTGTAATTATATAGGTCAGACCAGCCAAAGACTATCGCATACATATGAACATAAAATGGCTGTGTGGTGAGTAGATCTAGTCTTCAGCATTACTACCTACACCTTGGCCGGCTCAGGGCTTTGACTATTTTGGCGTAGAGGAAGGCCAGCGTTGGAGGGATCGACGCTTGAAAATCTGATGGGGACATCCCACCCCCACAGGCGTATACGACCCTTCAACAGTTTCCCGACTTGTTACACAACCCGGGTGATCGGTTACAACGCCGTGCCATTAAGCTGCTGTAGTACAGAGACAGCTGCAGTGGCCAACCAGTTCCAATTTTCCTCACTCCAACAAGCGCCTGGGACCCGAATACTCGTCCTACATTCGTGAAAGTCTTCTAGCTCGAGGCGGGGGACAGAAAACCACGAGATATGACGAAACGGACAAAGCTTTAGAGAGGGGAGAGGGTTACTTGAGGCAGGTGCTCGCCGATGCATTCTCTGAGAGTGTCCACCAAGAAGGACGGTGGATGAGCTGCAACACGACTGTGACCGGAGACGAAGGGTGATGATGTCGACTGCTCAAAGAGGCGCCGCGGTGCAAGCAGGAGACCGGAAACTAGACGTTCGAAGGCAGAGGTCTGGCAAGGAACAGGCGAGGGGTAGAGGAGGCTGGCACAGGTTTGGACAAGAGTGCCAGCCGCTCCGAAGACGCGCAGCAGCTGTGAGCGGACATCCTCCTTGGACAACTCCGTCAAGAGGTTTGAATCGAGGGGAGCGCGTAGCACGTCGACCAGAGAGAGGAGGTGTTTGTGTGCCGTCTCTCTGTATGCCATACGTTCGTGGAAGGACTGCAAGGTGAGAAGGCAGGGTTGAGAAACTGGTCACAAGGATTTGCTAGGAGAAAACAGTGAAATAAACGTAGAAGTAAAAAACGCGGCAGGAGCTGGGTTGGTGAAATTAAGCGGGGTCTTCTGAGGTACACTGGCTTTGGCGAATGCAACGTGCCTGCCTGCCCAAGGGCCCAACTCTTCCCCCTCTACCCATGAGTTTTTGTCTCCGAAGAACAAGCAATGTTTAAAAGGAAGCTGACTAGTTGTGAAAGCGTAGTGAGTTGATGATTACGTATGGAGACGGATCTAAGACGCCACCAAAATACCGGCAGAAGCGGCGGTAGGCCGGTCCTTCGGGCTCAAATGAATTCATGTGAACCCCTGCGCTTGTTGTGGGCCATGTTCTAGTAACTTTCCTTTAAAACCATTTATCTTCTCACTTCATGTCAACACGTACATATATGTACATTCCTCTATGGTATTAAGAGGAGACCGTACAGGGATTTATTGATTTGCGAGTGGACTTGCGCCATATTGTTAACTGTACAAGCAATAGTAAAGGCAGACACGATGTTTTATGCACAGGCACGCCCGGGTCTTAAAAAATCCCATAATTAGAAACCCTTTTAAAACCGAATTATGCCCTTCCTTCAAGTGTGCAATTTAAAGAAGACGTAGTTTTCTACCAAATAAATAAAAGAATAAAAATTTTTATGTATGATTTCCATGAGATATATTTGAATTTATAAGTACATTGAAAATCAATGAGAAAAACTCCTGCTACTCAAGTAGCCCTTTTTGCAGTGAGTTTTGCAGACGGTCGGAAAGAAGTTCGTTTAAAAGCCAGCATTCTGACGTAACTGACATATTTTAGGGATTATATTGTGTGAAAATTAATATTATAACCCTAAATAAGCAATCTTTTCGAGTCGAAAACGGATTTCAGAATTTGGGTTAACATTTCACGAGTTAGTGCATCCAATGTGTATAGGCTGTTAGCCAAGTCGTGTGTCACTGCATTCGCAACGGTCCAACCCTGCCTGGGTTCGTAGGACTAAAAAAACAACTTAAGCTACCGTCCAGATGCGTAAGACGAGAAGAGATAGGCTACTTGAGTAATTTCAGACGTCGAAAACAGCCTAGTAACCAGTCGCATTTTTCTCGGAAGACGGGACTAGGCATATCGTTCTTACAGCCTCGAACAAGACAAACTGCCAAAAAGTTGGCAGATAAAGTGTGGACAAGGCGTAGACATATGAACTGACCTTGAGTGTATCGAGTCGATGGCTGAGACGAAGGAGGGCGAGATCGGGATCCAGACTCGAAACAACATCGACAAGGTCTGGGGGAAACCTTGAGGTCAGGAGGGAAACTACACGGGGTGGGCTCTCTGTATCCTGTGAGTCACAGTAGAGGAGACGATAGAGTAACCAACCAACAAAGAGACCCCAAGCTGAGTCGGAGGAGAGCGGGGCATCATCAGATTGGGGCGCCAAGGAGGCGTAGAGGCGGGAGAAGTGGTTCGGATCGCCGAATAGGTAGCGAAGATAGTGACCACGGAATCTGGCGGACATACAAGAACAGAAAACAGAATTTACCACTGTCCGCGGATGGGACAATCGGCAGCTTGACCTGATCACACACAATCGCAAGCGTTCGCTACCAGTCGCTTGGGCACCGATTCGGCAAAGGCTGTCCTTTCAAATCTGACTTCCCTACTGCTGGATTGAGAATATATTGCAGTAGATGGTCGGCATTTGGGAGGATCAGACCGCATACATTTCGTATTATTATTATTGCTTGTTGAATTGAATTGAGGTGCAGAAAGCTTTTTACTAGGGAAGAATTTATTTCGGAGCTGTTTTATGGAAAAACAGATCAAAATTAAAAAAAATCGGACGTTCTCTGATAACCATATAATTTCCTACATTATATAGTATCACATGTCAAAGCCTTTTGTTCTTACACGTTGTTTTATAAGGGTAAATTAGCAAAAGTAAACAATATTTAAATTAATCCTTTCTGAAAACGAAAAATGGAGTTTCGCATCCATAAAAATCAGGTGGATTCAGGTATCCAAAGTTGCACTGCCCTCGAGAAACATGGGGCGGACTGGGCTTTGAAAATTTCATTGTGCAAATGTTTGCCTCCTATGTCATAAAATGCAGTGGTAAACTTGTTTCACAGCAGTTTTTTACCACGCCGTGAGTTAGTAGGGGCAAACAAATATATAAATTGACTGCCCGAGACATGCTTTCCCTCTTATACGTCAAGCCGTGCGATAGAGATGTCGAAGCACCTACTGTCAACCATCGATTTTGAGCGGATCCGAAAATTAGTAGCCGCGTGAGATATCAAATCTTCAGTGCCCAGAGAAGGTAGAAGAGGAAAGAGAAGGGGGAGGGTAAGATTAGGAGGATGGTGGGGGAAGAGGAGGGAGGGAGGGGGGAGGAGGAGGAAGGGAGCAGGGGACAATAGTAGGCCGAAGGGCTGCCGCGTGAGTTGTCAGGTCTTCAATGTCCAGAGGTGGCGGAGGGAGGATAGGGGGGAGGGCAAGATTAAGATGGTGGTGGGGGAAGAGAAGGGAGGGGGCAGGGGTAGGCGCCTACAACCGCAGTGACCATTGCGAAAGGACGGGAAAACATGTAGATGGACGGGAAAGCTAAGATACCGGTTTTAGACGAGGACACTAGGAAGTAACGAAATAAAAATAAATTAAAAACAAACTTGCCCGAAGGAGCACGACGGACGGAGGGCAAAAGCACTGTATAAGTTCATCGGGGATTCAGCTGGGTTCCTATCAAGACAGGACAAAGGTGAAGGACAACAAGGAAAATGAAGAAGGCGCGATGATGATAATATGAGGAGTCGGGAAAACCGAATCAGTGGAGGAAAACAAAGTGCTTCTGGGTAAATTAATCATTGGTAACATATAGGATAGAAAGCCGGTCCACATAAAACCCTAAAGACATACGAGCTTGAAATGCTAGAGCGAGCCTCAATAGCCGATTTAGGGATCAGGACGTTCTGAATCTGGTGATTGCCTCTTTTTCCGCCATCATGCTACCCAGGAATCACATTATCGTTATTCTTCATGTTGATGAACATTCGGACGTTCAACCTACCTGAGCGCCGAGCTAGACGCGGAGAAAAGCGTCAACAGAACCGCCATCTCTGCGTAGTCCCGAGACAGACTGTCGGCATCACCGTCATCGGGATCATTCAGTGAGGAAGAGGACGACGTGGAGGACCTCTCAATGAGCTTTGAGTGTAGCTTGGTCCACACAAAGGCTTCAAGGAAAAAAAGCAAGTTATGCAAGGGCCTAGGAGTGGGCGCACAGAAATATAAGTAGCAAATAGGTGGGGAAACTTGCAAACTTGGATGACGCCATGATGATTTTTGGGATGTTTACGTGAGTGACATTTTATCTAGAGGCCTCAGAGAGCTGTCCGCAAACTCCCCACCGCGATGAATTTGTGCCACAATCTACTCCAAGCATAACAACGCCTTCTAAACAGGAGTATTCCAGCGTTGTGCATATTTTAGCCGAACAAAATAGACAATATGACCTTGCTGATAGACCTCTGTTTGTGGAATGTCTGCTTGGCATGCGTGCGCATGTTTGTGTTTCCGGTCACCGATGGCGGTCACGGTTATAATTAGCTGATGGAAGGTAGGGTAAGTCTGAAACGGTTTTGTGCCAAACTACGTGCATCTATACCCCTCTGTTGAAATGCTACTGTAGGCTTCGTTGTGCTCTCAGACTGTTTTAATGTGCAAAAAACGCTGCAGCACAGGGGCCAGGAGGAAAGTTGAGCAACATACCAGTAAGGCGGACACTAGATGCGCTCGCCATCACCGTAACACGCAGCAACAGTGTGACTACTACAACTAAGACTACCACGGCAACTACAGCTGGTATTACTAACACCGAAAGCTACTACTACTACTACTACTACTACTACTACTACTGCTACTGCTACTGCTACTACTACTACTACTACTACTACTACTACTACTACTACTACTACTACTATTACTACCACTACTACTACTACTACTACTACTACTACTACTACTACTACTACTACTGCCACCACCACCACTGCCGTTGTTGCTACTACCACCACTACTACCGATGCTTTTGCCACTAACACTGCCGCCACTACTATTAGTACAACTATTATGACTGCTACTACTGCTGCTGATACTGCCACTACTACAGTCACTACTACTAATACTATTACTTCGACAACCGACAGTTCGACCGTCGGTTTCGACGATGTCCACCGTGTGCCCCACAGCTGCAGCAGCGGTGGGAGCAGGGACGGTGACTTGCGCAGGGGTTTATAGTGCCGGTAGACTTGCGCTGCATCTACCTACACTCTCTCCTCCTCC